TGCTCGAGTTTGGCGAAGATGACTTCTCGCTGTCGCACGAGTTTCCTCATTTACTCTTTCATTGATCGACACAAACAGCAGTCCATTCCTGGCGTGGACGAACTCACGCCCGGTGTTCGCACCCTCCACGTCCAGTACGCAGCAGGCATCTCGCCCCAGACGATGCTCGTCGCGCTTCGCATCCATGAGAACGCGTCTACCCCGTCTTCTCTTCCATCACGATCGTTCCGCCTTCCCCTCGTCTTTGACGACTCGGTGTCCCAGGCCGCCATCGCTCGCTACGCTGCCACCATCCGCGACAAGGCTCCTTGGCTGCCAAGTAATGTCGATTTCCTGCAGCAGCTAAACGCCCTGCCCTCGCGCGACGCCGTCTCTGACATTCTTATTGAAGCCTCCTTTCTCGTTCTTGGCCTCGGCGACGTCTTCCTTGGCTCCCCTTGTACAGTGCCTCTTGACCCGCGCCACCGCCTCACAGGCACAAAATACAACCCTTCGCGCTCTTTCACGCCGTGCGGCGCCGTAGGCTTCGGCGGCAACTATATGTGCATATACGGCATGGATTCACCGGGCGGATACCAGCTCGTCGGTCGCACCATCCCCATCTGGGACGAGGTTCTCGCCACGAGCACGAGGAGCAACGGCAGCGCCGTTAAGAAGCCCTGGATGTTCCGCCTGTTCGACCGCATCTCCTTCTACCACATTTCCGAAGCAGAACTCGACGCCGCCGTACGCGAGGGCAGAACCAGCACGCTCGTGCATGTCGAACCGGGCACCATTGAGCTCGAGACGTATGAGGCGTGGCTTGCATCGAACAAGACGGAGCTCGACGCCGTCGTGACCGCCCGCGAGGCCGCTTTCCACAACGCGCCCTTCCTCGAGGAACTGCTGCGCCCATACGAGGCCCCCGAGGGGGAGAAACGCGCACTCGGAGGAGAGGACGTCGACGGCGAGCGCGTACGTGCGCAGATGCCGGGCAAGTGTTGGCGGTGCGTCGTCAAGGAGGGGGACGAGGTCGAGGTTGGGGATGCGCTTGTCTGGATCGAGTCCAACAAGATGGAGATCAAGATCTCCAGTCCGGTAAAGGGAAGGGTCACGCGGGTGTTTGTGGAGGAGGGCGAGATTGTCGGGCCGCACGATGATTTACTCGTCATCTCGGCTGTCTGAGCGTGCGTGGTTTGTGGTACGTCATTTCGAGCGCGACAGCGCTTCAAGATTGGATTTGCCTTTGGCGATAGTGATGATGAACGACTTGAGACTCAGCTATGAACTAGACTTCACTTGGCTCTTGACGATTCAGTAGTGGTGACTTGGTACATTACTATGAAGGTGCTATGCATATACACCAGGTCAGAAGGGCCAGATGTTGCATTTGGAGACTGAACAGCATTGCTGTGATGGCCTTGATACATCCATCCTGCATGACAGGCAATGGTCGTTTGATGTTGTCTCATATTCAACTAGAACGCTCGTAAGTGACTATACTTTTCACATCTCGTGACCTTCCCAAATGCAGGTAATTAACAGATAAGACACGCAATCCGACACCCTCGCTCCCAAAGCATCTCATAAAAGCACATGCAAAATTTTACAGATGGCAGTCGCCGTAGTGAGATTGTTCACTAGCTCGACCGTGAATGGCGGCTCCTTCGAGCACGGTTGTCATACATTCACATATGCATCCTTCGTCTCAAGCTCACAAGCTCCATCCGTATTGACAGCTCTTTCGTCGTGGCGGTACCACCGTTTCTTCTTTGCCCGAAGCCTCTTTAAACGGTCGGGAGATTCATTTAGGCAACACACATCCAGCTCGCCAGGAAGACCAAGATGGCCACGATGACCACAACGGCACAAGTGAAGCTGAGTGAAGTTTTGTGCGTTGTCCAAATGCCGCGAGGGTGGGGTTCTGTGATGATTCTGAGGGCTAGTACTGAGCAACAGGGCCTCAAGAAATGAACCTTGTCAGCCGAGGAGACATTGGGGCCCGGCGTGAAGATGACAATCGATGGGGCCGACTCGATATGTGTGGCCAGAGTGAGGCCCCTCGTAGTCGTGACGTCGTTTCCTTGAAGTGAGATCTGGTGTCCCTGAGGACAACATCCCCAGCCTCTCATGATCCCCTCGACATCATCACGACTTTCCAATAAAATCAGTGGACAATATCGCAACCCCTTTATCTGGCCAACGACAGGCTCAAACTCGCACCCACGGAAAGAAACACCTGCTCGGTACGGTGAATTTTTGGCGCCGAGCCTGATTAGAAGGTATCTGCCTGGGGCGGGTTTCCAGTATCGTTGGTTCCTGCCTGGATTGCGCCACGTATCTCTGGAGAAATCCCCTCTGCGGGCGGCTGGTCGAGGAGGCAACAGGCCCGAACCTCAACGGAATGAGGCCCATGGGACGTCGCAGAGCGTGATGCCTCGTCGAGAGTTGCTGTGTCTAGTTAACTGACGGCATTCAGAGTGCTCTCTAGTGCCGGGCTGCTCCGAGTTGCTTGAAGACCATTGGTCAAATTGATTGCCCCAACCTTTGTTCGCATTCGTCCGTTTGTCAATGGTTCCAAATCATACGGGTTTGCCCTCGGAACCCAGTGGTAGATATCTTCGAGCCAAAGGCATGCTCAGCCACTGGTCAGAGGGGAGCTGCACGCATGTGGTGCAACAACACCCCAACAGCACATTCCTGACGCCAACTCAATGCCCCGTGGAGAAGCACCGGCAGCCCATCTTGCGTCGTCAGACGCCGGCAGGCCCTTGAGGAGACACTACACACCTTTGAGCGGATGAGTTGCGCGTTCTGCCGACCGAAGTTCCTTGACAGGGTGACGAGTGGGGCCCGAAATATGATCGCAAGATATGGACGCGTCTCTTGTTCCCCAAGAAGCAGTATTTAGTCATCCAAATGATCTCTTCACCAATCCTGGGCCGTGTCATACTCGCATGACCTCTCCTGGCATACCTGCTGCCCGTACCGGACCGAGCCCGCCCACCTCGGCTTCCAGGAGTCGAAGCGCCTCTCGTGCAAAGGGCACAGCCTGGCTCCGTACGCGCAAGCTCCAAAGATACTCCTCAACGCGCTCCGCGTAGAATGAGGCCTCCGCGTCG